CGTTGGGGTTAAACAGGGCTTAACTGGTCTCAATAAAATTAACACATTTGTATTTTACAATTTTACCGAGTACCCGGGTACTCGATCGGAAAATCGTCCGAGTAACCGATTATCAAATATTGACCGATTTGACATCCCTAGTATATATACAGTATATATACGAGGAGCATAAAGACAATTCGTAGACAATGGCGTTTTTGTCCAACTGAATGGTCCTAGATATACTTTTTGTATACCAAAATATTTGTTATATGAAAATTCAAGTTAGAATAGTTTGGTTTTGGTTGTTTGAACTTAATATTTTTGTTAAAATCGCGGACTTTGAAGGTCGCAGATAGTGCGCACAGTCAAGGGTAAAAATGCCGTGAACTTTAAAATAATGTTTTTGATTAAAAATATTATTTTCTTAATAAAACAAGCCAAAACTGAATAAAAATTAAATGTGTCTCAAATAAATTGGTTACAGTTATTTCCTGTTATCTTTAGTTATCACTTACTGGACAAATAGTAAAAAAAAAAAAAAAAAAAAAAAAGGAAAATAAATATGTTTGAAAAATTGACAAAAAAAAAGCGACGTCGACCATCCGAATGGAACAGCGTCCAATCATTTTTTTGCAGAAATATGGCAAGTGCCCTATGTTGAAAATGAACTAGATACACTGAATATGTACACCTTTATATGATATATTTTTCTCAAAGTCCAAAAAGCATTTTTCATTAGTGTGTAGAGATTCCTTTAGATGCAGTTTAATTCTCGATAACTTCTCCCGTCGATTTTTCCATCACAATCTATATAGAGCAGCCCGGTCTTCCGGGCTGCAATAATGTTTAGCTATAGATGATTAAAAATATCAAATCCAGAACATTTTGACTTTGCACTATGACTTACATGTAAGTTTCTAAAGCTCATTGTCAGGTACTGAATACTCTCGCAGTCTTTAGTTCCTAAGGTAAAATAAGCTCTTGCAATCGAAGATTGTCTGCTGTCTTTCTATTGTCATTTGATGTTTGTAAACTTTACTAAGCACATTCAGAACTACTGGACCAACCGCACACGTCCAAAGGCTTAAGTTAACCTGAGCTAAAGTAGAGCTTTTCCGGTCGACTTGAGCATGTCCGGCGTCTGTCTATATTGTCACGTGTCGTTGGTAAACTACGTTTTTGCCTTTTCTCCAGAACCAATGGACCAATCGTACACTCCAATAGTCTTTAGTTCACTTGAGCTAAAGTGAGTTTTCAGGCCGATCTAAGCGTATCTGTTATAAACTTGACCACATTTTCGTCCTTGTCTCCAGAACCACTGGAACAATTGCAACCAAGCTTGGCAGAAAACATACTGAGATGAAGTGGATTCATTTTTTCCCCTGTTTTTTCCATGAAGGAGAAGTGACGAGAAAGAGTTCAAAATATAAAATTCATTTAAAGAACCACTGAGCCAGGAAAGACAAAACCTACTTTAGACCTCCGCAAGAACACAGATGTATCAATCTGCATACTTGACACTGGGACTCAGTATTCTGTAAATTACTTAAATAGTAAAATGCCAAAATCATGGACTTTAAGTGAATAGTCGGAAAAACGGGCTTCCTTTTGATGACCGCAAAAGGAGTTTACCTATCAATATACATGAACTCATTTGTCAGGAAGGAGGAAAGTGAATCATGTGAGCCTTGTGGCTCATGGGTCTCTTCTTCTTCCTATAAATGACAGAAAAAAGAAAGATTGTAACAAAATATCATATTGTTGTGATTGTCGTAAAATAACCTATCGTCTCTCTTCGAGGGGGGCACTAGCTTTTAAATGCTGTACAAGACTTATCGAGCTGGGGTTCATTACAGCATTTTTTCAACAGCTTAATCCATGGTGAACAAATATTTAGAAAAGCACTTAGCTGTTTGTTTTTCGACATCCATTTAGATTACAACTAGATATTGATGATTTTATGTAGATTGTAAATACTGTGTATTGAGGGAAACGTGAAAAAGTGTAAAATAAACTAATCGGTAAATGGAATTTACATGAACCAATTGAAAATATCTTTAAGAAAGGTAATTAATTTCATTTTTTGATGAAAGATCGCCATGAGCTAATTGAAAATAAACGGTTATTTAAAAGGGACTGTATAGAGAGATAGAAAGTTATAGACGAACAACCCAGAATATCAAAGATAACTCTCCATTTATTCTTTTAAAACAAAATCTTGTCATAAGTTAAACTGTATTTTTCCCCCAAAGTTTAATGACAGAATAATTATCTGAGTTTTTTTGGGGAACAACAAGCGAAAATGATTCATTTGATGAGCAAGTATCAATCGAAGAAATTCAAATACGATAAGCATTTTTATGAATGTAAATTCGTATATCACAAAAACACGTTATTTCATTATCTGGTTGTGATAATAATCAACACTTTAATTCGAGACTAGCAATCTAGAGCCGACAATAGAGAAGATAATTCCTGGCCACTCAGTGTCTGAACAGCCAGTATGTTCCATAGATAAAGAAGGTGGGGCTAGTCAAGGAAAAAGGGAATGTTTTTGTGTGTTGTTATCTAATACCCACACGGCGAGGAAGACTTAAGTATCTACAGTCTTCTTTCAAGTTTGGGAAATTGTTGATTCGGCCATTGATAGGAGACAACGAAATGATACGCGACGCCCCAGCGATACCTTTTGATTACGTACGTGACGGGGAAGAACCTTCGTTCATACTTCGCACAGAAGACAAGATTCTAGATTGTCCGACCTCAAACGTAGAAGAATTTTACAAGTCGTAAACATATAATGAAAGAAATTCAATAAATAACATTAAAATAGGTCTCTGCGTGCGTTTAATAACCTAATAATCTGTATAATTAATTTTGAATTGTATTACATGAATTTAAGGGATTTTTCTCCTTTTTTATGAATAGATAAAACGATTTTGAGATATGTCATGAACTCAGTAACTCGACAACAAGATTACTATGACAAGGGCAAATTGTGGTCTTGTGTACAGAAACCCAAGACCGTTTTACGGTACCGTTATATTTAAAATGCCCACCTACAATTAAGGACGTCTAACTCTGGCATGGACTCCATTAGAAGTTATCTGTGGTAAGATTTGATATCCTGATAAATACAGACTAACATGTAAGTCATCTTTAAATCGGGGAAGACAAACTATATTCATTTGATGCAGTAAAAACCAGTCACACACGGTGGAATAGTAAGAGCTCTTGCTGTATTATTCGAATAAGAGAAATTCAGTTTGCATTTCATTCAAACATGAATCGGAGCTATAAAATTTATTGTTATCGTTTGTTCTATATAAATATATAATTTATTTGTGTATCAATATTTGTTCAAATTTTATATGGATGAAATGGAAAAAAAACCAAATATATAACGTGCGGTATTCAACTTGCCGGCACAGTCAGGTCATTTATAAGACAAAATCTCTGTTTCATAGATTTACACTTGTTAGTAAGCTGTGCCGACAGATTGAATACCGCGCGTAAACGACATCCAAAAATAAGAATTCAATGCATAATTATATTTACATTCTCTTATTTTCTCTCTTCATTTATGATAATTTCATTCAACCTAATTCAGGAACATCTCGTTTCTTTTTTAGTGTAGTTCCCTTGAATTAACAAAGAGTGGGTAATTCAGGAACATCTCGTGTCTTTTTTAGTGTAATTCCCTTGAATTAATAAAGAGTGGGTAATTCAGGAACATCACGTGTCTTTAAGTGTAATTCCCGAGAATTAATAAAGGGTGGGTATTTCAGAAACATCTCGTGTCTTTTTTAGTGTAATTCCCGAGAATTAATAAAAAGTGGGTAATTCAGGAACATCTCGTGTCTTCGGAACAACGTGTTGACAGGAAGAGTTCTCGTATTGTGGGTAAACAACTACTACGTGTACAGAACTAGCAAAGGTAGATTCCGCGGAGACCAGCGGGTTACTCCGATCTCCGACCATCGGACGACTAATGAGGAGCCAGCAACACGGACAAATTGATCACGACGTGGACAGCGAAGACACGTGGGGACACGCCCCCTTGCATTGGTTCCCTCTCACACCCGTAAAACAAAGAATAATCTGTGCCCGTATGTTTGTACGGCGAGATTATTAGTTTTTGCCAATTGAAGAGAAAAATGCTTGGTGTCCATTGATAGATCATTTATATTCGGGTTCCACCCACCAGTTGACAATGGCTGATGTCAAAATCTGGCTAGTATCATCAAAAAAGGTCAAGTCCACCATAACACCACTGGACACTGGCCGATAAGTGTTCTTCAAATTGTTTGTCGTTGACATAAATAATTTGTGATGTTTGTTCAAATACCCTGTCACCTAATTTAACGCAGATATGCCATTTTATGACATATTTGCACATTCTAACGTGTTTATCGGAAAATGTTCATTTGCTAAACTGTTTATACAGTAATTACTTATCTTATTAAGGTTTCACTTTAGAATCTCGGAATAGATTATAAGCAACTGCAAGCGTTGCTGCAGATCTGTACATATTATAACTCACTGGTCTGAAAATTTGGTAAACCTGACCAAAAAAAAAAATACGTTATCTAATTACGGAACCACATGGGGTGGCATTTTCCAGTGACGCACTTCCTTTAAGTAAAGCAGTGAGGAAAGTGTCTCACAAAAGATATTGTTTCAAGCTCCAACTTGTTAACCGGGTCCGAGATTTTTGTACCATTGCAATATGTACCTTCGATGAATTCTTGATGAATGTACGACTCTCAGCTTTATGTAATTTCGTTTCACTTGCACATAACTGCATTAAAATTCTGAAAACAGTTATGATATGGAAGATCGTACACGACTTTCCCATTCCGGGCTCCCAGATTCCTCACCGAAAAATGGTGACCTTGGAAAAAATTCAGGGCCGATAACATAAACTTTTTCCTTCATTTCATTACTAAAAAATAAACACATCCGAATTAAAAAAAAAATCACTAAAATATTAATTTTAAAAAGTTGAGTCATTTTATTTTAACACAAGGTAAAGAGTATGCTTAGTTAGAAAAAAAAAACATCGATATGTATGTCAAAATAAAAATAAATTCTCACAGCCAGAAAATAAAAATGTGACATAAATCAGTAAACAGTAATTACTGTGTTTTGTATAACATCACAAATAACATTGTCTTCAAAGCAGAGGCCTTGTAATGAAATCCCAAGACAGATCTAGTTTATGTTGGCACATGACATAGAGGCACGGAATGATTGAAAATATACAGACAAAAATTCTCCATCCACATAAATCAAAATAAGATTTAGTTATGGATTAAAACACAATATTAACTTTTTTTATGTATTTTTATCTATAAAGATTGCAGTACAATGATTTCCCAATAGAAAATCATATGATTTCTTCAATATATATGTAGAACAACCACAATGAGACCGAGTTTAAGGCATGCATTTAAGAGAAGCAACAAAAACTTCAACAAAAGGCAGTTCTAATATCCTGTGACATTGTATGTGAACAACACATTACAATTCTAGACTGACTTTTAAATCAGTATCACTTGAAATCTTAAGCACTTTTGAGACTCATCTTCACATTTCCCCATTAAGTCTGTATTATAAAGGATATCTAACACCCCATGAATTCACCAGTAATGCAGATTAACACATCATTTTGCCACCAAATTGACTGTCTAATAAAACAGTTTGTATCAAATTGTCACATTTTAATTGGAGTTGTGTCATTTTAATACCTAACATTAAATATTACATGAATTAAATTTATGGGACTATTCATCTCAAAGGAGACAGATTATAGACTATAATTCTGAGCACATTGTACAAAATTGTAAAGTTGAATTTGTTGGCCAGAAATAAGCCATTCTGATTCCAGATAATACATACAACTGCAAATGGTAATTTTTTCCTTGTAAACTATCTTTTCCCTCAGTGATAACCAGATGTGCTAAAAGGGTTATTTTTAGAAAGAATTAAGGGCAAGAGTCCCTGAATTTCTAGCACCAAACACTTCCAAATGTGTAAAGACACCTGAATACTACTCAACATAAAAAAGAATGGACAAAATACATCGTCAGTTTCGTTAAGGTCATCTGATCCACTTTCACACATTTTATATCCTTCTCTGTTTCTGTTAACAATCCTTTATATATTTGTTATTAAACTTCATACAAATGTCTGTACAATGGGATACTAAAATAATTTCTGTCAGAGTTCTGGAACATGCTGCAAACAAAATTAAATTTTAAAAAAAGATGCGATAGCTTTACAAAAATTGGCATTTTTTAAAAAAACATTTATATTACATAAAAAATAAAGGCAATAAAAGCTAGTTTGCATGAGGAGTTAAAAACTGATGCCTAGAGGTAAGGAATCATAGTTAACATGTCTCTTTTCAGAGTTATTCTGAGTAAATTTCATAGGTAGAATAAGTAACGCACTAGACACACATTTATAGAATGCAAATGGATTTATCAATTCATAAATACATTACACAATTCTTACATAAAGCCAATTCGGTGCTTAAATATTAAACTAAATCTTAACAGAATTTAGGGGCCACAATTTACTAATTATGGAATTGTAAGAATGACCAAATTGTAATTCTGTCTGTGACAATTGGTGACTAGAATAAAACTTCTCAGGGCTTGTGCTTTTCCTATGTTTTTGTGAGATGCAAACTATGTGATTTACTTTCAGTTACTTGCAAGAGATTCAACCATGAATCAAGAGGAAAGAGAACATGTTTTCATGCAACTGTTAAACATTCAGATGACCCTGCACCTAGCAAAACACTTCAGTGACCCTGTTTCAACTGATACACTGGGTTAGCATCATGAAGACAATGTATGCAAAATGCTTGGATGACTGTAAAGTTGTCACACAGGACCTTGGGTAAAAAAGCATACCAGCCAGTCTTCTTTTGAACCAATTACAACAGTCAAGTCACTTTTAATAAGCTTCAGTGGCTGTATCTGTTTTTGCTCCTATTCGAAGCAGTCTGGTATGCTCCCGTTCATGCTCCTTTAAGATGTGTTTGTCTTCTTTCAACATCTGTCGATGCTTCTGCAACTTTTCATAACTCTCTTCCCTCTGTGCATGCACCTGTAGAAAAAAAATTATGGTAAATGCCTAAATCTATGAAGCAAACATTTCTTAAAAAGAAAATTTTGAGCCAGTGAAGCCACAAATCTTGAGAGATTCTGATGGTAATTAGCAAGAAGGGGGCATAAATTACAGATCAGCTTATATAAATCATAAAAAGAGGCAACAGTTTCAGTTTAAATCTGGAAAACTTTCGGCAAAATGTGGTAGGCATACAAACACATATCAATGAAATTTGAATAAATAACTTGCACTGAAGACAAGTGAGGAGAGCTTGATTGTAGCATTTGGGCTGAAGTTAATTTGTTAAATATTTCTGTTAATTTCTTGTTTTCTGGGAAACTGTTTCCAACATCCAAGAACAACTCATTATTCATCAGGGCTAAAGGATGATGTCTTTTTAGATCTGACGCTTTGATGACTTATAAATAGAAAAACAATATCAATCACTGATAATCTCAAAAAATACTAAGAATTAAATAGATTTTTCAAATTAATTTTATGAATGATTAAACTTTTTTCCCTCTGATGTTATTGTAGAATAGAAAAAAATTCACTAAACTCATGACAATTCCTACTTGTTTTTTATATAAAATAAAAAGGTTTCCTTAAAAAGTGTGAAAAGAATTAAAAAAATAAATGAATAAATGTATAAAAATTAAAATTAAATTACATTAAAAAAAACAAAACAAAACAAAAAACCAATATCAATCACTGATATCTCAGAATGTAATTCAGAATTAGATAGAAAGAAAGTATTCATTTTAAATAACATAAAAATGATGCAGTTTATTTACTGCAAAAAACCATGGACCAAAATCAATTTTAGAGGAAATGCTGTCAAAATCAGTTTAAAAATGTGCTGGAAAGGCCACAAAAACGGTGTTAATAATTTCTTACAAAACCAAAGTTAATGTGTTCATTTTTATAGACTCAATTTCTTTTCAATTTAAAAAGGATTTCCCTTTCAATTTCTCACTGAGTTAAAACTTTAATACCTGACTTTGAAGTTTTGATTTTTCTTTGAAATTGTTAAAGTGGTACTTAACCTTTTTAATCTTTCATAAACATGATATAATCTCAAACTAAATACTTACTACCTACAGAAAAGCAGCCTAAATGAAGGATATTGAAATTATGCTAATATATTGATGTAAAATCTGAATGGATTGAAAAATTTATGGGATTTGTATGGCATTTTGTGTACAACGAATTGAGACTTTTATTATAAGAACCTACATCGCTGACAGACACAATCTAGAGCATCGAAACCATCAAAGTCCCAGAGAACAAATTGTTCAGAGGCATAATGTCACTGATACAATACTTTGATTATGTTGTGGACAATCTAAATATCCTGTCATGATTTTCAAAGAATACTACATCAGTTTAAAATAAATCAGAGAGGATTTTTAAGGTTACTAAAAGTAAAAAGTTATTCAAGACCATTATGCCCCCAATACACATATGTACAAAAGTGTGTGTAAATGTTCACTTAACCACAGAAGATAAGTGTTCAATACACATTTGATCTCAAAGTTCCTAAATTTTAAAGCCTTTTAAAGTAATGGTTAAAAGAGTAAAGCTGTTCAACTTTGGTTGTCCCAGAACACGAATGTCATTAAATCTTTGTTCCTTGAATCAGAAATATGACTGGTTGAAGTTTAGGCTTGTTGTAAATGCTTACCCTGGTAGATAAGCCATAATTGAGGGGTGTTTCTTGGGTACATGGAATAAGTACACAGTTGTTACTGTGATAATTTCAAGTATTTGACCTGTTTTTCTTTAGCTGGAGTGATCTTCTACAACTTGTAGCTGACATAATCTATAAATTACAATACATTATACTGAGTTTATCACACTTCAGAACAAAATCTCCCCTTATCATAAATTTACAATATCTAACTTATTACCTACTTCTCCTTGCAGTAAATGAATTAAAGGTTGTAAATTACTTTAAATGTTTTAAAATAGATTCTCTGATGATAAAGTTAAGCCTTAGGATTTGCAAAAAACCTTTACGCACTGAGTTTTTGGAATTCATGGTTATATTTTAGAGTATAAATTCTTTTGTGGAATTCAAAAATGATTTATTTGAGACTTAAACATGGGCATAAAAAATGGTCCAATACCTAAATGTATTCATTAAACATTAAAATGGCTTTAAAGTTTGTAAATTAATTTTAGAGATTTTTTCATTATTTCAAAAAAATTTTTTAAAGTATGTGCCTTTGTACAATGAATTTATCTTTTTTTCCTAAAATAATATTGTATTACATCTACATGCTTCACCTTATATAACTAAAATATGGCCACAATTTGAAACAACATACTGTTACAATGTATTTATTTTGGAACTCTTTGATGAGTGATGAATTAGCCATGGGATAAATCAGATATCAAGCAATAAATTTCAATGAATGATTTGCTTTGATTTCTGCTAGGGTGTGTAAAATATATATGAATTATCTAAGTGTAAAAGGGAGTAGCCATTATGAAGTTTTATTACTACCTACATGCATATATATTTAGTCAATCTAACTGATATAACTTCAAGCTGCTTATTGACACAGTTCATTGCAAATACATTTAATATCATAGGTAATGATTTATGAAAATTCTAGATGGAATAAGTTTAAAAAGAAAATAAAACTAGGATATTATATTTGAGGTGTTTCAAAACATTTTGAAACAACTTGAAATATTTTTTTCCCTTCATCTTGAAATTACATCTCATAGAACAAATTCAGATATAGGGAGAAATTTGTACACTCCTATTTTAAATGAACAGTCCATCCCTGATGTTAACCATTACAACTACATCTCACTGATGGTACACAATTATCACTTCCCCTCTATCACCCTGAATAGAGGAAGTGATAATAAATCCAGTGTACTTTAAGCCCTGTGATCTCTATTTGGAAATGAGATAATATGCTGAATACACACATCATTAAATTCTGTATTTGTATTTCTAAATGAAAAAAATATTTCATAAAGGTAACTAGCCAAATGCAATTATTCAAGGAGAGCTTAGATTCTTTTTAATCAGCAGAATTTCTGACATACGGTGTGATTAGGTTTGACTTATCTCCATTTTATGTTTGCTGAATTATGTGGTAATCCCCACCCTATCATTTGACAACTTGACGCCATATGTAATTTGAATTTAGACACAATTTTTTTGTACAAGTAACATATTTCTCCACTTGTTTTGAATCTCTTAAAGCATACTGATGTAGCAATTACAGAATGAATGTTAGCAAGAAGAAAAAAACTGGAAAAACATTAAAATATTCATTAAAAAAATTCTAATATATGTAAAAAAAATTTACTCAGCCATAACATTATCTTTCATGTCTTTTATTAAGTTTTAATTAAACAAATCTGTTAATGTTCTTTTACCATAGTTTAAAAAGTATGACACTGTTTTAATTACATGATAAAACACAAGTTCTAGAACTGAAAGTAACTTAATAACAGGAAAGACAAAAAAGAGGAAGAGAAAGATAGGGCAAAAAGTTTTAGAACTGAAAGAAACAAATAATAGTCGAGCCTTTAAGAGAACAAAAAAAAGCTCTAGAACTGAAAGTAACAAATGACGGTTAAGACTTTAAGAGAACCAAAAAAAAGTGAAAGGGCACTTTATTGCACTTTTTTTTTTACACAAGTTTTCTGACAAAAAGACCATAAGTATCTATCCGTTCAGCTACTTTAACAGACTCTTACAAACCCTTGTGGCAAATGAGAGCACCATAAGTTTAACTCTCTTATACACAGGTGCATAGCCGATAGCAAAAGAACTGAAATTTAATCAGTTACCTAATTGTCAAATTATCATATAGCAGAAAGTTGTGAAAAAGATGAATGAATGAGTAGTTTTCTTTTTCTTGAAGTGGTACAAGGCTTATTATTATGGAAATTATTTGATCCTTCGATTACGACCTGATGTTACATATTTCAAGTTTTATGTTTTCTCACGATATGTTAGAAAGGCAAATGTTTGCATTATACTTGATGAGATCTCCCTAACACCTGTTTTTATTCATCTTTTAGTGCGATCTTATTGTTACCTCACAAGAAAAGAGATATAAAGTGATAATAGATTGATAATGGAAGTTTTCATCACCTATCAAGACTGGAATACAGTGCAATTTTTCCACCCCTAAATACATTATATGTTGTCATTATATATATATGCATTACTTACAAAATAAACATCATTTCATTTTCTATATAAGCAGGGTATATAAATAACATACAGTTTTGCAGTATACATGTTTAAAGATAGCTGCTTCTATATCTGCATGACAAAATCTCAGTTGATCTTAACGGCAGATGTAGGAGATAATATGTTGAACAAAATGATGCAGATAAGTTATAATCACTAAGTCTGATACAAATGTAAAATTTAAGCTATGTGTTTAATAAATATTCCAAATGGTATATAATTAAAGTTTCAGCAACTGAGAAAAACATTCTGAATTTGAAAATAAAAAGAATCTGTTGAGAAAATGTAAATTCTGCAAAACATTTTATTTATGTGACACATAGCAGTTTATCCATTACAAAAGGACAAAAGGCAATCCTACACAGTGTTAAGTTTTATGACATCCTATAATACATTTTTATTTCAAAATTGTCACTTACAACATAAAAGCCAAGACATGGATATGTTCTATCAAAATGCCACAGATTTATGTACCAGTATTTTGTTCTATCCCCTGTAGAGTCTACAGCAGAGAAGACATGATTTACTGCAGGGTAAGTTCCCATCACCCACAGTTAAACATAATGCCTCCCCAAATAACCATTGAAAAAGAAACCTTTGAAACATATATGGATATGGAAGCTGAATTATTTCTGAAAAAATAGCAGATTAAAAAGGTATTTTTCCCTGTTATTTTAAGACTTAAGTAGACCTAAAAAAGTTGAATGTTATCATATTTTTTAGTATTTTTTCCTCTCCTCAAACAGCTATATATCCCTTGTGATTGGATAAGATGGTTTTGATAAAGCAATCTCATTGTAAAAGATCAACTCAAAAATCATTAACAGTTCAGGATAGGGCATAAGATAGTAATCACAGCATGAACACTGAAACCTAAACCGTAGCCTTTGCCTGTATCAAATGTGCTAATTGTTATCCAATTTCAAAGAAACTCATAAAGATTTAATTAAAAAGTTTGTTTTTTCTTTAGAACTAAAATCCGACACTTTCCTTCTGTGAACTGAACATAAAGCCAGACAGATATGTATGTCCACAACTTTTGTACAAATTCAATCACTTTGTGATCATGGCCCCTGTCGAAAAACATGAGCTGATGGCTTCGATAACCCAACTACTTGTGAAGCTTTTTCACCATGGGCAATTACCCTTTGTGGGCTCTGTACTTATAGTACCCTACAGATAAAACAAGAAAACACATTCACCAATGGCAACTTAAGGACAGTGCTGTTTGCCAATTTCTTATTTTTCGCAATAATTTGATCTTGTAAGTTTTACCCCCAAATGTTCACCAAGAGTAAAAAAACGCCTCTAATTACATGGTTCTTATCTTTTATCTCCATACAAGATTTCACTTTAAAAGGTTAAATTAAGACTAAAAGATCAATTATTGTGTTCAAAGGCTCTATACGATCATTTCTTTTGAAACATTTCTTACGAAGTTTTTGAATTTTTTCTTTGGCCATTAACACACAAAAAAAAACAAAACCCCCCCCAAAAAACCCACAAGTCAATGGCACTTCATGGAAGTCTACAGAAAATTACCCGTATGTACTTGATCAACCAAGATAATGCTAGCATATCATTGACTTCTGCAGGCTTCCAAATGGATTAACAAGGAACCCATAAGCCACACAGATCACTGGAGTAATCTCTCAGCAAATCATCACAGCAGGAACATAATTCCAGATTGATAAAAATATTCTGTGAAGAATTTGTCTATAAGTAATGAGCATTATCTCAATGTGAAGGGGGCAGATATGTAAAGTTTGTTACAATCAAACCCTCCATTCATCTGTATTTTGTGTTTTTGTTTGCAATGGGAGTAAGATTCCTGTGTGTGGTACAAGTATATTTGACCTCCAGTGTCCATTAATCTACCAAAAGATCACTTTTACTTTTGTACTTTAAAACGACTGTATTTTTGTACTTAAACATGCATGTGTTTTATATAAATACAGCACTTTACACACTATACTCTGGCTCCAATGACATCCTCTTTGATTTTAAGGTAGGAAAGGAAAAGATAAATGGTATTTGTAGTCCCAATATTTGTCTGACATGCATGTACCTCAGTGTTAGACAAATTCAGAAATTAAGCCAAGTTCCTCACCTTGTCTAATTCTGCCTTTTCTCTTACAAGTGATTGCTCAAGCTCAGTCTCTTCCCTGTAAGTTTCAGCAAGCTCATTTTTAACTCGGATGGCATTCTTCCTCTTGAGCTCTGCTAACTGCTGCTGCATTCGTCTGACCGTCTGCTCCTGCTTCTGGCGAGCATACTCGGCATTCCTCATCTTGTTGTACAAGGAGTGCTCCAAATCATCACCCTTTGTCACCATTTTCTGAGGAAAAATTTTCATTAACTTATTACCTATGAGTCTTTGGATTTCAATTAACTTAAAATTCCTTAAAAACATTTCAAATACGAATATAGGGTTGGGTACTGCATAATATACAAGTACCATACAAATTAAATTCAAATGTTTAAATATAAAGGACAAGTTTCACTTTGGGCCATTTTGGCCCTTTGAATTTCTGAAAAAAATCAAAACTGCTCATTATCAGTTTAAAATGCATTAAATATCACTTGAACCCTTGGTGAGGGCATACTAATATTTTAAAAAATTGATGTAATTTTCTCACTGGTCGATGCATTGTGACATCAAAAACTGTGCCATTATTCTAATACATGTATCTTGAAAAATTCTTCAAAAATGGCCTGAAGTTTAAGATATTTTTCAATATTTCAAATAGAGCACAGCCTCTGATCCAAATTTTACAATATGACATCATAAAATGTGTCATTATTCCCATGTCCTGAAAATTTCTTTAAAAATGGCCTGAAGTTCAAGATACTTTTCAATATTTCGAATAGAGCACAAGCTCTGATCCAAAATTCACAATTATATATTCATTAAAGAATTGTTTCTGAAGATTATAAAATATGTTTTATTTTTTGGATTGAGGAGTGTGCTCAGATTTTAATTCTTTGCAAACGGAACTTTAATACATCTTTTTTCTGCAAAATTCAAGAAAATTGCAATTTCACAAAGCCAATTTTTTTCCAGTATCTGGGCTTTCAGAGGAAACTTTGTTGTAGGAAATGAAACACTGATTAAGTCTCCACTTTATATTGATGATTGAAAGGTGACATAGAGTGTCAGCAATTTATTGGCTATATACAGGGCCATTTTTATGCATGCATAAAGTGAACCTAGCTCTTTTTAATCCTATTCTATTTGTTGAAAGTTTTATAGATTTTTAAGGCATTTTTTCTGAGAAATTTTGACAGAAAAGTACAAATTTTAGATCATGTGATTCATGCACAAACCATTTGTAATTGCATTAGAATTCTGACTCACATCAAATTTTGAGCTTTCTGAAAAGACAACTCATCAAATCAACTTTTGTGTTCAATATATAAGCAAACTATATATAATGTAAGGAAGAAAAACTGAAATGCCATAATAAAATAATGAAAAAAATAGGTGCTTAAGATGACAGTCACTGTTTTTTACATGAACTTCCTTTAAATTACATATGTTCCATCATTCTTAAAATACTGACATTATGTAAGAAATTCAACCATTCAATGAAAATTTAGCATTTTTCAAATGCAGTAAAATATATATGCATTCATCCATGATGTGAACATGCTGAGAAAATTAACAAGGTGTAGTCTTATGCTAAGAATATGTGAACAAATTTTCAATGATTTTCTATAGAAATGCTGAATAATAAGTCTTTTCAACTCAGAACATCCTGTGGTTTAAATGCTATTTGTTCCTTTTTCATATTATTATTTTTTTCAGTTTAAAAATGTCAAACATTGTAGAGAACTTGTACAGAATACTTGTTTGGACCACCTAGGATGATTCTTAGCTTGAAAGTTTCTGAATTAAAAAGCCCAACCTTGCATGAGTTTTTTTTCTTTTTACAAAAGTTTAACCACATTCATTCTCTCTCTTATTTTTTAAATAAATATCTTTCTTAAAACCTGATTTTGATTGTGATAACTACATTGTAAGCAAACTATTAAGCCTTAACCCATTTTTCTTTATTGAAAGAAAGTGACATGACTAAAGATTTTACAGAATAATTCAATATGACCTTGAAGTTGAAGGCCATCAGTATTTATATGTCATCTCATTATATACTGTAATCATGAATTTTAGTTACAACCTGTGGAATTTATGAATTGCATCCATACCAGTGGGACAGAATAATGCTACGGGGTATATATATATATTTTTAAAGTATTGCTATAAGTCACTAAAAGTCTCTAATGTTTGATACAAAACAATTAAAACAAAACCTTATGTTTGATTCAAAACAATTTAAACAAACTGTACAATAATATCAAACACGTTTTAAAATTCTTTCTTTTTTTCTTTGCATTCCTATCCCCCTTTCTCCCCCCTCCCCAACTAGCATTGTTCCTCCTTACCTCTGCTCTCTCCAATTCCTTATAATGATCATAAATAATTGTAATGAAAATATGAATTGTAAATTCAACAGTAATACTTCAGCACAGTACCTGGAAAAACTTAAGGGAATCTTCATGCTCTAAGCGCTGTTTATCGTTGAATCTCTTTTTGAATCTAGATTGGCATATTTCTTCATGTTGAGCACCTTTCTCTTTTCTGGCTTTCAATGATGAATTCATTAAATGTATTCTTCTCATATTATGAGCCTGAAATGAATATTGAAAGCTAATTAGGTTATCTTCAAATATCTCCAAAACTTGCCGAGAAATGAAAATTTGCACATTTATGATATGAAAAGTGGTTAATCAATACAATTTCATGTTAAGATTTCCATAAAGTCAAATACATCTACTATGGAAATTCTTGCAAGTAGTTCTGAAATGGAAAATGCAACAAAGTACTGAAAACTTAATATACCCCATTAAACCATTGGCACTTACAAAATTGTAAATGGGTGAATGTATGTATTAGAACTGTCATTCACATGTACAATGTAGTTACTGAGATGTCACTAAAGGGTGGCTCAATTTAACCACTCTGAAAGAGGAATACTTGTTTCTTTTTAGATTATAAATTAAACAAATCAGCATGAACCTTTTTTACAGCCAATTCTAACAAGACTCGATTTTGTTTTTATAAGTGAAAATTTACTTCCTGGAGTATATGGATTTCAATTAGAGAGTAATTATAGGGTATCATCATGATCCTTGAGTCATCTTAATCAAGAACATTCCAAATATTTGATAGGTATGAAGCAGTTTGATGAAATACATACATTTTTTACCCTTACATAAACATTAAAGAATGTGCAATTTAACATCCTAGAATAAATATGTCTAGAATCGATATGGAAGATGACCCCCAAAATTCTCCTTTGGTAAACAAGCACTTATCCGACACATAAACCTTTGACATGTGGAATATTTCAATATCGTTTATTGAATCATCTAATACTGTCTGAATTGTGAATGAGCTTTTATTTTGTGTGAAAGAATGAAAATTTGCCCATGACTGCATGTTTTTAATATGAAGCTTATACGGCAAGACACGGACTGGATACAGAAATCGGCCTTCATTTTCTAGTCATTCATAGCAAAAGTGGGACCAAGTAAGCCCAATATAAATTGTACATAAATGCATTTAAGTGTAAATTAATTGCAAAATGAATTCACCTAACATGAAGTTTTAAATCCTATGCTTATCAGATGTTCAAGCCAGGGCAATATAAAACTGATTTTGTGCTTGTGAATGCCAGGTCTACATAGAAACCAACCTCAAACTCTGAACAGAAAAATGTCAAAATAACAAAAACACTTAATGGAACAGGTCCTGCTTTGTTATGTATATCTTACTGACATCAACGCTTTGTTTTCGTAACAAATTGAGGAATGGTCACAAGGAAAAACACATAGAATTGAATTACTTGCCAAAATTAAGTGCACCCATAATTTAACAGATTCCAAAAAGGTAGTAATTAAAAAATTGACTGATGGTCACTGTTCCGATTTAATTTAAAGAAAAACATCTCTTCATTCCCTTTGTGTTTATTGTCAAAATTTAACTATTAATCTTTGGAGTGATTTGATCCATAACTTTTGATTTATTAAAGAAAAAAAACTTAGCACACAAATGGATTCCTACTTCTTGACCAAAGTTACAACAGTGATTCTGAAAATAATAAAATAAACAAGAGACCCATGGGCCTGAATGCCCACTTGAGTCACTATATGCCCTGCTGTTCTTCATCAGCATTTTTTACCACATATATATATATATATATATTCCCATGTAAAACTTTGATCACATATTGTGTGGTCCCACCCTACCCCGGGGGTTACGATATGAACAAACTTGAATCTAAACTACCTGATGATGCTTCCATATCAATATGACTGACTATGGCTTTGTTGTTCTTGAGAAGATTTTTTCTATTTGTTCCCATGTAAAACTTTGATCACATATTTTGGCCTCAATTTATCCCAAGTCCATGATTTCAATAAACTTAAATTTACACTACCTTAGGATGCTTACATATAAATTACTTATCATGGCATTGCTGTTCTTGAGAAGATTTTTAAAGATATTACCTATAAATTCCTATGCAAAACTTTGATCACCCATTGTGGCCTCACCCTCCCAAACTCATGGGTCAAACTCATGATTTGAACTAACTTGATCTACTCTACCTGAGGATACTTCTACATAAATATGACTAATCATGGGTTTTCTGTTCTTCAGAAATTTTTTAAAAATAGATTTTTCCAATATATTACTATGTAAAACTTTGAACACCCATTATGGCTCCACCTTACCCATGGGAGCCATGATTTGAACAAATTTTAATCTACACTAAATGGAATGCTTCCATATATAAAATATGACTAATCATGGTTTTGCTGTACAAGTACTTGAGAAGAAGATTTTTAAAAGATGCCATTAAATTTTCATGAATTCTTAATCATCTCCCCTTGAAAAAGGGTGTGGTCCTTAATTGAGCAAATTTAAATACCTTCCAAAGGTACTTGTGGCAAGTTTGGTTGAAAATGGCCCAGTGGTTCTGGAGGAGAAGTCGAAAATTTGAAAAGTTTACAGACAACACGGCAGACGACAGAAAACTGACAACAGGCGGACGATGGACACCATTTGATCAGAAAATCTCACTTAAGCCTTTGGCTCAGGTACACTTAAAACCTCAAATCTCAGGGGGAAAAAGGGAAATTAGCTTTATTAATATGCACTCTGGAAAAAAGTGTTCTAGCTACATGTATATAGGATAAAAAAAAATTGCATGAATATGGCCAGAACACCATTTACAGAAATAAATCAGGTAGGAATATAGATATTAAAACAGGTTTTATGTGACACAATTTAACTGCAGTCAACCAGCAAGTTTCACTTTTACATCACTGAGTATTGCTAGTGGTCATTCAAATATTAAAAATTAACAATTTTGTTATCTTCATTGACATCCATGTGTAATGCACAGTAATTTGAAGTGCCAAAATCAATGAGAATTATCCTGAGAATCCTTTTTCTACCTTATTTACCTATGCATAACCATCATGTTTTTAAATTCAACTGCATTGTAAAAAGTAGAACAATTATGGAACTCATACTACTATAATTTTTCAATCTCATTATCATAATAATTAAACATTCTTTTAACTCCTGACTGCCTGAGAATCTTATCTATTTACACATTGTAGAGGGAGATGTCCTGCTCATTGCTGTTTTGCTAGCCACAGCTTAATTTCTCATAACATGCAAAGAGTTGAGTATTGGGTGTTGAATAGCATTCATTTTTTAACTTAACATGCAAAATAAGATAATTATAATTTTGAATGGATTATTTCAGCAAGATATAAAAAGAGATGACTTTTTTCCTCAAATTGCAATTTAGACCAATTAGTAACAGAAATAATCAGGCATCGTCCAAAAAAACTTCGAAATCCCTAACAAACATGTATTCTATCCAGAAATTTTATGGCCACGTGTGGGACAAAGATCATTCCTCAGAGATTGCACAACCTTGACTTAGAGATGACTTATCGAGACTAATGAGAGTAATTACCATTCACAGAAGTGTACACAACCTGTCATACGGGTGTTCATTTAGAAGATTACCACCATATAAAGTTTCAGACTCATCTTGCACCTGTGAGGGTAAAAAAAAACTACTTGACTTTCATTTCACGAAAAAAAGAGGTTAAAACAGCAAATGGGATAATGGACAAAAGTTCCAAATGATCGGAAACCATTAATGTTTTGGACATGTGACTCCTTTGAATTCGGTGCTTTAACCCTAGTTTTAAATCTAAATGCACCAAATGCCTAATCCACTCAAGCTGAGTTGCTAATTAGAGCTTTTGTGTGTCACAGTTCATGGTCTGAAGCAAAACAAATTTTCAAAGAGTCTGTGCATGGGGTATATATCTAATCATTTATTGGACTGCCTTTGTTTTTTGTTTTCACAATTTTTCACAAAAGTGTGCTTGAAATTGACCAAAGGAATCTCAAACCTGACATAACTAAGCTCCCCTTCCAGTTTCTTTTTGATACAATGTATATATTTGTTCAGTTAAAAAAAAAATCAATTGCAAAACTCTTGATTAGAAAAATTTACATTTAATTCTGATTTATATGTAGGAAAAGAAAGAAAATGGAAACAAACAGTGTGAGAGAACAATTCAAATTTATTTATTAAGAGATAAAATCTCTCAGTTTCTCACACTGCTCATGCAAGCATGATTGCCGACAGATATATTTGAAATCTTATCCTGGACATTTTCTAGAAAAACTCTAACTTTAACCATAGAAGCTGCCTTTATTGTCATTTCTCATCATCTTAAGTCATGGTCTGGACTCCGCACATAGCTCTCCTACCCATGAAGGCTTGATTATAAAAATTCTTGAAGTCTTGAATAATCATGCCTTATGTATGATGTCATGTTATAAATCAATGAAATGTTTGCACTGCAATTGAATTTAATGATAAACAACTAATGTTACATAAATTGCGATTGGATAATGATAGGTCACATCAAAGGTTATTTCTGAGTATGCTTTACTCGCATTGGTCAATATTTTAATTAGATATGAAATATTCTCCTCTCATTCAACCACGGACAGAATGGGAGAGGATCGTACATTTTGGCTGTAGTTTGCCATGATGGTAATTTCTCCACTTTATTTATAATTCCAGCCAACATCCAATACAAGATACAACATTTCTCCCCATGTAAAACAGTCATGCATAGATTAACACTTTTTTAGAGAAATATATTGAATCCATACTGGCCCTTTCACTATCATGCCAACAAGAATTAGAAAAGTAACTGGAGGAAAATATCAAGAATATACAATAATAGTTCAGTACACCTCATGCAAAATCATAATCAGTCATGCATAGTAAAATGGGGAGTATCATTACCAGCATTTCCATATGACCTGTATAAAACCAAAGGAGAATTAACATCTAAAACAATTCTTTTTTAACATTTATTGGAATATGCGACAAGAGGGAGACAACTCGTACAAGTTAAGATCTTACGTTGATAAACATCAGTGTCTATGAAACACACTGCTCAATTTTTTGTGCAATAAGCACTTCTTGAAATTCATTTAGATATTGAAATGTAAATTTCAGACCATAAGAAACACATTTGAACAAGTGTGAATACAGAGCTTTTTCTTTATTTTGTTTGTGTGCTGGAAAATAACAGACTAAATGCAATGATGATGTCGATGCTAACTTAACAAGCAAATTTGAAGAATTATGGTCCCTCACTTTCAGTGTTTTAGTTGTTGGTATGCAAGTATTTATGACATATTGTAACTGTCTTGTCTGTGTGTCCTGTCTTGTCTGTCCATCATGCAGAAAAAATTAGAACTATTTAATTAAGAAAAGTTACAGCAAAGAAATAAAGTTTCTTAAAACTACATTAATCTTCAAGCTGAAGGTCATGAAGTCAAATATCAAAATACCATCTGAAAGGTCTCGTCACAAGTAATGCACATGTGAAAAAAATCTGAAAGAAAGGTGTCTCTTCTGAATCAAAAGTTAAGGATAAAGGTAAAAATTTTGATAAGCAGGTAAAACTTCTAGGTCAAGGACATGAAGTAAAATGATAGTTTTTTCTGAAGGATTTTATCACAGGAAATGAAAATGTAAAAATGAAAGCCCTATCTTCTCTCATTCATAAGTTATCATCAATGTTAAAATTTTTGAAAAGGAAGTCAAACTTCAAAGTCATAGGGTCAAAAATCAAAGTGTATTTATAAAGGTCTTGTAACAGGTAATGCACATGTCAAATATAAAAACCCTACCTTTTCTCATTCATTAGTTATCAACAATGTTAATTTTTTTGAAAAGTAAGTCAAACTTCAAGGTTATGGGGTCAAAAATCATAGTATATTCATAAAGATCTTTTAACAGGTAATGCACATGTCAAACATAAATGCCCTATCTTCTCTCATTCAAAAGTTATCACCAATGGTAACACTTCTGAAAAGTAGGTCAAACTTCAAGGTCAAGGGGTCAAAAATCATTGTTCAATTAGAAAGGTTTTGTCAGAGGTAATATACATGTGAAATATGAAAGTGCAATCCTTTCTCATTAAAAAGTAATGACTAAGGTTAAAGTTTTTGTGACAGACAGAATGACAGATGGACAGACAAATGAGATTTAATGGCCCCCATTTCTGCAAACTCGGGGGACAATAAATAAAAATAACTTACCTCTACATTTTTATCTATTTGTTTTGCCTTAAGGTCCATCTCTGCATATTCAGCAGCTTCATTTAACTGTTTCTGTATGTTAGAGTTGTCTACAAGTCTAAACTGAGTATCTGTCAGATGTCTTTGTTCTGTAAAGTGAGTGTAAACAAATGCAAGATACATGAATCAGATTGCTCAATTCTCAGACAGAAAATTATTTCAAAGATTCTTCAGAAGAAGAGATCAAAAGAAATGTCCATATAACATAATTCACATACTAAAGATACAGTGAGCAAGCAGAAATGACAAAAGTCCTGTAGTTAAAATCATGAACATTATATGCTACAAATATAAATACCATGCATGAAAAATGGTATGTTCTAAGGAAGATAACTCTTACCATCTCGTTTTTTGATGTCCAGATGAGATTTAGTCACCGTTAGATCAGCACTGAGTTTTCTTTTGGTTGATTCTGCTGCTTTTGTATCGCCATCACTTCTCCTATAGATCACAAGAGAAATATAAAAGGAACGTGATGCAGACATCATCTAATATGCTAATAACTGGTACATAACTGATTTTTAACATCATCCTTGGGAAATTGTGCAATTTTCAATTTAATATCATAGTTTGAATTACATCTGTGCATATTTATAGTATATATACGTTCATTACACTACTATTTACATGACCTTTTGTTGAGACAAGACACTTACATTAGTTTATTTTCCACAGTTTTCTCAGCTGTTAAATCCTCTTGAATTTTATTAGTTTGCTCCTTCTTCTTTTCTCTGTAAGGAAGTTATTAATCATAGTTCCTTTGTATTAAAAGGGAATATTTTGAAAAATTATCAGTTAAACTGTCATGTTTCAAATTCAAGTAATGGAAGACAGTTATTATCTAAGCTCATATCTTACAATTTTTTAACATGCACTGACAAAAGAAAAGCAACATCTTATTTGGAAAAAACAAATCAGATATTGTTTACGATTTTGTATTTCAACAGTGAGAACATCTTCGACTTTGATTAGTTCTCATTTAAGGGTTGAATGATTTTCATTCCGTAACTGGACCAAAGTTTGCATGATGAACCCAACTAAGTGGAAATCATAAATTGCTTGTTTAACAAAAAATCTGGGTTAACAAAAGCTTTTCTGTTCATCATAAATATTGTAGCATTATCCCCCCCCCTTCAAAAAAATCTCATTTCTTTCCCATAAGTGATGCCAATTCTGAAAATGGCTGTAAGCATGCATTTCAACTGCTTCTAGCATGAAATTCTCACAATAAACATGAGTGTTGCAGATGCAAAGATGCACTATATCATGCCTCATCATTCTCATACTCTCACTAGCTTGAAAGACAGTTCATAGACTGGAAGTCCAACAGTTACTCCACGGTGCCAAGTTTGAGGAAATTCAACCTCAGCATTTGAGAAACAGGCACTTCAAAAAGACTAAAGAATATTTCTTTAGCTCAAATCAAGAGATTAATGAACTTGATGCATCATAGAATCTGAGCTATAATTGTGCTTGGCGGACTTGTACGCTATAATTGAAAAGGGGGGGGGGGCAGTGAACAATTACCTCTTACTTCCTACAGTTAAAAGATAACTTTTAACATATCAATCATTAATTCTCCAGTGTTTTTAAGTCAAGTTTTCTCCTATCCTTAAATATGTGTCAAATTGTGAATATCATAAGATAAAAAATTTAAAAATTCAGATATTTGTAGTTAACTGCATGTTGCCTTTCTTTTGCATGTCAATCAGTAAATGTATAAAACTATTGCACTAAACTGTTTATTAAAAATATCTTACTTTTCCATATCAAACTTCTGTTTTCTCCCTTTTTGAGCCTCCATGTTCAATTTGATTGCAAGGTCAGCTAACTCTTGCTTTAATCGAAACTGTTCCTCCTATAAGAAAACAAGAAACTACAGATGTTAGAGGGGAAAATGGAAAGTTCCGAGAATAGTTTGATGAAATACTAACTGTTTATCGGAAGTTAATAATCTTGATATCATTGGAAAGGGCAGAAATATAAGCACAATGACATATTGTGATGTACATCACTTAAAATTTTGTGTAATGTCATAATTCCGAATATGACATGAGAGCAAATTTTGGTTTTAATGAGAAAATATGAGATTGCTTCAGCTAAACCTTTCCTGTGCTTTAATCATTGCCCCATACTGATCATTACACCTGAAGAATTAATGCCAGTAAAATCTGCAGTATTGACCACTGTTCTCCTATCATTGTAAACTTTGTCATTCTCTCACAGCAATGACTTTTTTACCCAATATTTAGCATAAGACACAGAATGCCATGTATGACACAGTTTCAGACTTCCTCAAAACTCTAGAAGCTCCTGCTTGATTATATCTGTTTATGATAGACTGTAGTCTATATACCATAATCCTTTTCCCAGTTGGCAATAGTGTCAGTCAGCATGCATCCAAGAAATGTATTAATGACTTTCAAATTTTACTATGCTTAAATTTTGTCTTTTGTTATGTTAATTTATGGTCACTATACTAAAAACACAGGATTCTGACATCATTTTCGGAGTAACCATATACAGGGCTAATTAAGCTCCTTCTTATTTTTACCTTTCCACACTTACAAACAATTTTGCCCTGTTTTAAATTTGCCCAGATACAATTGTGTTTAAGAGATAATGCTGTCTTTCTTGAATTTGCTGGGCAATTTAAAATAGGGATGGGTATCACCACAAATTTTTATCGCAATATATATATATCACATTTTTTTTCAAAAAATTATCATGATAATATGATATTTTTACACTTAAATTTTACTATGATTTCAAATGAATTTCCCTATTTTTTCTAAGAAATATATTGTGAAAACTGAACTTCACTTTTTTTCATTTTTATTTTTATATTGATAAAGCATGTTTGGATGCTAGATGCTCTTGTTATACTGTTTTACAACATTTTTTACAATTCCAGGAATTGTAATTCAAAAGTTTGAACAAAATAGTCAATTATTTCTGGAATTTATCATTACATATTCAAAATATTGGTATTTTAGTCTCCATATCACAATAGGTATCATGCATATCATGACACATGTATACCAATATACGGATAAACCTGTGCAACTCTTATAGTTTTAAATAAGCTGATTTGTAAGAGGGCAAAACTCGCCGCAAAAGGAGTGAAAACTAGAAATATGTCCATAGGACATGAATGCCCCATCAAGGGTATATTTGTAATGCAGCATGAAAATTTGTATTTAGTGTATGAAATTTGATGAGAATATCTTGAATAGTTTCTTTAAAATTGAAATCTAAAAAGTTGGATATAGATGATAAATTCTCACCAAATTATGTATAAGTGCATAAGCTTGCATAAATATATCTTAAATGATTTCTTTAAAACTAAGCAAAATGCAAATTCAAGAAAAGTGAGGTCAAGGTCTCAGGAAAGTTCACGGCCAAACATTTTTAATGCAGTTGAATAATTCTCACAAATACGTATCAGCATATTAAGTTTGATAAAAAATATTATGAATGGTTTATTTAAGTTATAGTTACACTATAGATATTAATTGGTTAGCAGTAAATACACTCACAGTTTTTCATTCACGAGGGGCGGAGCCCCGAGTGAATAAAAATTGTGAGTGTATTTACAGCTAACCAATTAATATCTATTGTGTAAGTTACTTGTACCAGAGGACCAATGAGAGAAAAGCAAGTTGATAATTAGCACCGCCTACTACGAGGTGTCAAGACACGGTCCGGAGTCTGCATAAATAGCTGTCTCCATCTGCAAGGATCATACTTTACTGCGGCACTGCTACTACAAGTTGTTGATAAAAAAAATCGGAATTGGTACATGTGAAGATATTGTACCTTTGAAATGTTGAAGATGCAGGAAACATGATTTTTGTCAGGTACAGGTATAGGGGTAGCGATTGTAGGCTTTTATGTTCAAGCCGTCAACTCTGAAAGAAAAGTTATCTTTCTAGATCGTTTTTTTTTTTTTTTTTTAAAGGGGGGATGGATATGGGAAACATCGGCATTGAACTTTTTCTTTATGGCAATTGGCGTACAGCAAAAAATGAAATGATTTGTGACATTTTAATGAAAGTTTGAAATGGTACTGGAAGTAAAAAAAATGCGGGGACTTCTGATGTGAAATTGCTATATGTATTTGGAGATGGGAAAGAAAATGACGAGAATTCGAGATAGGACGTATCATTTACTGATTAAGGAAACGCGGAGAAAACATACAGAACCATTTATGAAGCGGACACCGACAAGCTAAATAGTGTTAGTATTTTTGAAATTTAAAATGTTGACTTAATTCATTCATCAGCCATTGCCTTGGTCTTGAAATTGACATCATTCATTCATTAGTCAAGGTCTTGACACAGTATGGCTTGATGCCAAAAGGTGGGCGTGACTTAAAAAAAACTGTGATTCTTCTGGCAAATACACCACAGCAACATGAAAGCAAAATCTAAATTTACCGCCAGTCCTATGGTACAAAACAGAGCTAAACACTAATTTAAAATAAATGCAGGTAAGGTCAAAGGAAAGGTCAAGGTCAAAAAATGTTGATGCAGTTGAAAAGCTTACATCAGTATGTATTAGCATATGAAGTTTGATAAAAATATTATGAATGGTTTCTTTAAAATTAAGTTAAACACAAAATGAGAAAAGTTAAAGGTCAAGGTGAATTCAGAATGATGTCACAAGATGTGCATATTTTCCTGCTCTTTCTAATAAAATCAAGACAATTAACTTCTGTTAAATGGTTAATATTTCATCACATCATTCTGAGAACTTTTCAAATGTCCCTAAGATAGTCAAAATGTCCATATAGACAAGTAACCAAACTTGTGTCTGGGATCAAATTTAGAATTTTAATAACCAGGATTAAAACCTCATTAAAGCATTACATACCTCCTTCTTTTTCATTTTTGTCTCATAATCAGAACTCATTCTCATGACATCCATTCTCTTAAGCTCCAATTCACTCATCTTAGCTTTGTACTGTCTGGATAAGTCTGACCTATCAAACAAGAAACGCAATATACTAGTATGTAATTTATTTCATAAATGTAAAATATTGGACTTGGTAAAGAAAAATAACAAATTTCTTCATATTACAATACATGTATACAGAAAAACATCCTTATAATTAGGGATGTCAATTTTGTCAATAATTCATATTCGAATATTCAATGAAAGTACATGTATTTGAATATATTCAAATATTCAATAAAATAAATAAAATCTGTTTTATTTTAAATATGCATCATCCTACTCTCATGAAAGGTTCAGCATAGGTATACTTATATTGGAAGTAAAATTGTATGAAGACTTTTGTAGGTGTACAATAAGAAATTCCATTTGATATTTGTCAATGTTTGAAATAAATAATTGATTTAAATGTAGAAAAGTATAATTTTAACAAATGAAACGTGTATTTATAGTAGCTCCAACTGAGGAACCAGTCAAAGGCAAGATAGTCGTAACGGTATACTGTTCAGATTTCAATACGTGTAATAAATTACAATTATCTGCCTGATAAGAGATATTGTTATAAGCTTTGATACAATGTAAACAAATATTTCCATAGACAATTTTCCTAGGTAATTACATGAAACTAATTTCCCGATAATGAATATAAAATTCAGGATTTTGTACAACCAGAGATAATCAAGTAATTTACTCATTTATTCTGAAATTAAGCCGTTTACAAAATTACTTACATATTATTTCTATCAGACATTCATTCAATGATCAATTAATTTTATTTTGATAAGTATACTCATCACGACTTTTAGACATTCTTAGATTTCACTTGTTGTTCTCGATTCTAGATCCGATCGTATCTAACTAATAAAAACTATGAAAGTACGTTTTGTATTATACATAAAGCATTACTGTACAATTCTTTAACACCTTACTCAAAACAAAATACATGTAATTTAGTAGATTTATAAGATAAGAAAGTATTGAAAGAATCAGATGATCGAAATTGATCGCTAGTAAATTAAACAGGGATAATTCCAGCACTGTTCTAATCAAAATTTATTAATCACAGTACCTCTTTTTATGAAATCTGAAAAACACCGAATATTCGAATCTTAAATTCATATTCGAATATCAACTCATCGAATGAATATTTGAATGTTCGAATATTCGTTGCCATCCCTACTTATAATGGATTACAGTGAAGTGATTTTCATTCCCCATGGCTTTAATATATTGTAAACTAAATGGATACACATGTAATGAAATACATTTATTATAAACCAAAATCATCTGTCCCTGGGACCTTGTTATAGGCTTGTTTTACTGTAGATTACTACACATTTTTTATTTACCACTGTCTGGTTTTGAATACAGAATATTAAAATAAACAAAGAACAAAAATTGTTAAAATTACACTCAGCAGTTCTGAAAAATATAACTTTTTTTATATGCTGATACTTTGACATAGCATGTATATGCTGTTACTTTGATATTATATTCTGATACTTTGATACTTTGACATTATATGCTGATATTGTGACATTATATGCTGATATTGTGACATTATATGCTGATATTGTGACATTATATGCTGATGTCAAAGTATCAGCATACAATGTTAAAGTATCAGCATATAATGTCAAAGTTTCAGCATATACATGCAATGTCAAAATATCAAAGTATCAGCATAAAATGATGAAATGTCTTCACAAAATGAATGTTATCCACATGATGCAGTTGAGGCATTCCACACTTTTTAATATGCATTTTTTTTTTCATGTACATAGAAATACAATAGTTTAAAAACTGCTAATCTTAGCGATTTCAATTTTTATTTTAATCATTGTATTCAGACAAAGAAAAACAAAGAATAAACAAAGTACACCATCCTGAAACTGAGCACCTATGTGTACTAGTGGTAGTCTTTCTACAAAATTTAGCATTTAATACTGAGGATTGTTATGAGTATGAAATTCTAAAGGCTGCAAAAGTTGCTTGCAAAAAATAATGCTTCATAATATAGTTTATTTATTGACTTGAAATTCAGTAATAAATATGATCCACTAATACTGACATTTTTGTTGTTGTTGTTGAAATTTTGTAGTTTTTGTACAGTTTTTTTGATGAGTAGTGTACAGTATTTTCACCTAAATTACATTGTTTTCAAGGCTCCTGAACAGTATTTGGGTTTAAAATTTATCACATGTCATCCAAGAAAACAGCAAAAAGTAACCTGAGTGACCTAGGTGGCCTTATTAAAACTACACATGTACATGTACATATTCTGTTGGACTGCAGAACTTTAATTTACAATGAAGATACCAGAAGGGAAAGGTGCACCTGCTGGAAAAATTCATTGTGACTTACAAATAATATTCTTATGTCCACTAATCCTCGGCTAAGATGAATAAACTCACACTGATTGATGACTCTTAACCTGACAGTGTGTATAATAATTATGTGTTTGATATGATTTAACTGTGCATAGCAAGTACTATTAAAAATAGTCATGACATACAACATACCCTAAGTAGGCCATTTGAAGATTCTACATATCAGTGTGAAGGACATGAATCTAACATAAATGAGGTCAGCGTAACCTAGTATTGGGTCAACAATACCTAATTTACAAAAACTAACATGGCACCTTTGCAGAAAATTTTCCTTAGCATGAAGAAAGACTTCTTCACTATTAAATGATGTATTTTACCATCACCCATTTGATAATCGAACAAACTTACTTTGCAAGCTGATTTTTTCTATCCCGATCTTTGAAAGCCTGGTTAGCATGAACATTATTCTGTGTGCGATTCTTTGTTAACTGAAATTTCAAGCGTATAATGACAGATGCTATTAATTCAAACATGCACTATTTACTGTCAACACTTACAAGTGCAAAAATGCCTTTCTACTCTCTTGGTTATACTCTTGATTTTCAAGAATAGTTTTCCTAGTGCGCTCTTTGGTTCTCTGAAAAGAAGATACAAGATAACCATACAAAGACTTTCACCCAAGAAAAGAATCTCCACCCTGCAACTAGGCTATTAGATTAATCTTCAGCTGTAAACAAAAATCTGCCATCTGGATTTCAAGAAAAAAAGAAAACATAGAGCATGTGCATCACTTGAAATAAAAAATCCCAATACAAATATAACATTCATGGACTTTAGTGTTTTCAAACACACCTCTTCCTTTTTATGAACATGGTCTCTTCTAAGCACTGTATATTTCTCCAGACCCTGACTAAGCTTCTTCTCTTCTGCCATTCTCTTCTTATTTATAGCTGAAAGTAAAGAACAAAAAAAACTTGTTTTTTTTTTTTTGTTTTGTTTTTTATCTTGTTATTTTTGTAAAGTACTACCTGATTCTAATGTTTTTGAAAGCCCTGAATTTGCATGCATACATGTATTAATGATTTAATTTGACGCTTTCACATTGTCAATACATGTTTTGGGAAAATGATAATTTATTTCATAATCTAGCTAAAACTAATTCAAAGCAAGATGAAAATTTGCAGATTCAAAGAACTTAAATAAACATTATTTCCATCAGATGTATAATAAAAGTTTCACATTTACCCTGTTTCAGAGAGTGTACAGATCCTTAAATAGACTATAAACCCTAATTTATATTAAATGCAAGTAAGTCTGCTTGAGAAATCATTTCTTAAATAGGCCTGCATTGTATTTTACAATTTCCTACAATGTTTCATTTGGCAATGCATGGATTTTGCATACATAATTTTTAAACAGAGGGTCTATCTGATTGTGTGCATACCGGTATCTATAATACATAATATATGCTTCAGAACATGAAATCTGAATTTTTTTATATACATGTACTGATATATTGACATTTGTTTTTCCTTTAGTGCCTTTATATCAATTAATACAAATGCCTCCAAACTAGGGACTGTTCTCCAGTTATAAATAACTATGTGTCAAGAATGACTTTCTTCCGATTATCATTTACAATCTGAGTCTTTGAATCTGAACAAATACACACATTCCTTGAATTATGCCAAGTAAAAGCTTCTATTTTCCATAATAAAATTATTGATCTGACATAATTTGACACTTCTATTTCATGTGATCTTGATCTTGTCAACAAGGCCTTGTGACAGGATCAGAACACCCCCTTTCTCACTATAAGCTACCTTAGTTATTAGTGCCAAGTACAAGTTTTTAATTCTTCTTCATTTTTTTCACACAGTTTAGGGAGAGATAAAAATTATTACACTTGCAACCCATTAGACCTTGACTTTGTTTATCTGACCTTGGATCATGATACATTCTCTAGACATAAATTAACATCTGACTGAATAAGAAATCTACATGTTTAATTAATACCTAAATAAAAAACGAGAAGTTTTTTGAAAAGTTTCAGACTGTTAAAGAGATGAAGAGAGAAGAAAACAGAAGAACAAAATAGCAATAATGGTCTTAATCAGCAATGTGAAAAGGGGAGTGTGGAAAAAAAAACCTCTTCAAAGTTTGATTTAAGATCTTCAAATTAAATCTACCATTAGTAGACTTTTACAGAATTACACTACCATTTTCAAAATCCCTGAGAGTGTGTCTGACTGCCCTCTGGTTTTTAATGATATCCCCTTCTGTTCTCTTTAATTCCCTCTCCTCTTGTTTGTGTTGCCACATATGATCCTACAATTGAAGATCACCAAAAAATGTATTGATACTGTCGTCTCTTTTTAATAACAAAAGGAATTATTGTTTACAAGGTGAAGGAATTATTGTTTACAAGGTACTTCTTTTTTTAAAAAATATCTTTGAAATTAATTTTCTTCAACTAACATGTACTTTTGATATCAAACAAACAAAATATACTATTCCTTAATTGAATTTCAGCTTCAAGACTGATTTAGCCTACCTCTATGACTTTGATTCGTCTTTGATAGCCCTTTTTATCCTGCTCTATACGAGAGGTCAGGGTGACCACCGAGGGCTGACCTGACACACTGGCCGCTCTACGACGTCCAGTAGCATCTTTTTTTATAAGGAAAGAGTGAGAGTATCTGTTAGAATCTAAAAACCCCTCTGGTCCAACTTTTCTCTCTTGATCTCTGTAAAATGGATATTTAAAAATCAATGATCCAGAGTAACAAGATAATTAAATTAGGGAATAAACATGGATTCAGACATGGAAGTTTTATTTTTGAATTTCACTCTGCCATTATTATACAGATGTTCATACATATGGATAAACATGCATTACTTTGCATATTATACAAAATTGCAAACACACACATGTGGGATTTATAGCTTTCTGAGACGCCAAAAATCATCTTTATATGCTTACATTTACATTCTTTTGCCAGTACTTTTTTATGCTAAAATTATTCCTGAATTTTTTTTTCAACAGTTTATCAATACACTGATTATCACAATGTAAATTCCTTCAACACATTTAATAAGGCTAAAATACTGCTGACCTGGCATTAAACAATAAAAAAATCAATCAACACTTTTAAATTTACTTGAGGAAAGCTGCATAGTCCTTGGAAGAAGACCTATGAGTTTCTTCATCTGCCTTAAATGGTGGAGCACTTCCTGGTCGACAGATTGCATTGTATCTGCTGTGTATGAGGGCATTTCTTTCAAATGGAAGATCTGTTAGAACCATTTTCCTCCTTTAATTTCTTCACTATAAAAATTAAGAAAATAACTTGACGAGCATATCAATAGTCAAATATGAATAATTCTAAGGTAAGGTTTTATAATCTGCAGTTTGATTGGCTAATGACTGATGTTTGAGGCAGTTTGTTGAGCATCAGCAAAAGCGAATTCTTTTGATTGTGACATCATCATAGAATGATGCATCCACTGAGCCACTCCAACTCCACTGATGCATCTCTAACATGCAAGTAAAACTCAGTTTTTGGACATATTATATCAGCATTAATGGTTGCAAATAAATTAATAACAAACAAGAAAACAGTTATTCCTTAAATATGCAGATTACAAAATTTACTTAATGATTCAAATCAACGTAAAAAGCAAGAACTTATCAGGCTGAATTTATTATGTTACCATGGTTATTGTTGTCTAAAGTATTTCCCAATTTTCTGTAGAGTTTTTATTTAGTTGACATTTATTCCTTTAAATTTTGACTATTTTTAAAACTTTGTTTACGTTGGTCTTTGACTTTAAAACCTCCAGAATTTTTTTATTTGGGGCCATAAAATGACAAAAAAATTTAAATACAATTTTTCTACTTGCTTATGTAAAAGCTTAAATTGAGCACACACATAGTGAGAGCAGAGAGCATTGCAAAGGGCTGTTTGGGTAAACTTTGTTTCAAAGTTGAGAGCAAGAGCATTGCAAAGGGCTGTTTGGGTAAACTTTGTTTAAAATGGCCTGATGGTGTCTTTGACTATGAAACCTTTGACTGATTTCACATTGAGGGCAACAAAGCCAAAGAAATTTGTATTCACACTATTCTGCTTGCTCACGTGGTCACATTATTTATGTAATACATGTATATGCATACAGTGAGCAAAGAAAGCATTGCAGAAGGGCTCTTCTATAGACAATGTGAAGGAAGTAGAGGATTCTCAGTAGGCATATGGAATAACAGGCAAAGTTGAGAGAGAGAGAGAGAGAGAGAGTGAAATTTGATGGGATTTCCATTCTGTTCTCTGAACTTTCTATGCATGTTTGGTACACTTCTCCGCTCCGCTAATGATTACTAGGTATCATGTTCCATGTGTTGGTTCACTGCTTATATAAAACAGCATGTGCAAATCATAGGCACTCCCCATTTTAATTGTTAAAAAATATATATACCTACTATACTATAAACATGTTTATAGTATAGTAGGTAATTGCATGAATTTTATAAAAACTAATTGTTTTATAACCCATTTTGAAGTTTTTGTCTAACTGTCATTACAAATTACACTTCAAATTCAAACTTTTAATGATTGTGAAATCAACATGTTAAAATAAAGTTGTATATATATTTTGTAATAAGTGTCTGATATGTGCTATCTGCTTAATGTTTACATCATTATTGATCAATTTTAATTCAAAACTTTGGTGATGGAAATTCCCAACTTTTTCACAGAATTATAAGAAAATCTGCCTGTCTGATACATATTGGAAGTTATATTTTGATACGATACATTCTTAAATATTGATACGTATTGATATATCGATATATTTATACAGCCCTAAACTACAAACATGTAAACTAGAACTGCAGAACTGCTCTCTGGATCATGTTCTTGCGATGACCAAAGAAAAGTTCACAATAATATAACTCACCTTCCATTAACAGGAATTGCAGGTAGACAGTAGATAAAATGCTCTTTGTTCAATATTTGCCCATTAATTTTAAGACTTCATTATGGAAATGCAACTAATATTTGACGTCATTTGACGTCACATTCTAGACCTTCCAAATGAAGGGGTGGATCTAAGTTAAAACTAGATAGGTATCCAGTAATTTATACACAACTGCGCTCGTCCTAACGGTCGCACCGTCAACATATTAAAAGAACACTCAGTACACCAAATTTATCATCATGAAACCGATCCCCTATGACCAGAATGACGGGCACCTGCCTTGACTTACTTAAAATTATTGCATCAGGATATTCTTGCAGGCTTCAAGTACTTATGTACGAAAATGACTGTAAAGACCATACCTGTAATAATGCAGAATCACAACTACAGCAGTACTTCACAGCATAAAGGGGCAGAGAAAAAATATTTTCATTCGACGATTCGTTAACCAATGTAGGCAGCCATTGTTGTTGTCTAGGATACTCGCGTCTCGTAAAAACGAGAGCAGAATTTTTTTTCTTTAAGAAAAGAAAAAATCAGCAGCTACATAAAATGCATTTGCATTAATAAATTAAGCTCATAATTTCTTACTCTATTCTATTTTATTTTTAAAAAGTGTTCACCTTGGAAACAGTATATTACTCCGCTAATTTGGTGTTTCACATATTATTTTATAAACAAACAAAATCTTTTCAAATTGTTCATGTAGGATTCAGTAAATAAAAAATAAAAGGAGAGATTAGCTATCTTTTCCTCCAAACATAAAAGGAAACAATATTTTAAGAAATAAATTTTGCACTATATTTGACTGCGTATTAGTTGATATTGCGTGATTAGGTATGTAAACAACATGGAGGAAGAAGTACCTAGTGGAAGTGATAATATCGTTGCAGAATTTGCAACATACGAAGAGTTTCTTGATTCCCACATCAAACCAATTGATTTGTTCTATTTGGAGGTATTTTATCTTATTTGTCACAGAAATGGTTTTTGAAATATTTATATATGTGTAACAGATTTTCTAATAACAGAGGAATTTCGAACGAAGAGAAAGCAGAAAAAGTAATGATTGACATCTCATTATCAAATTCAATTAAAATGCTCATTTTGATCTAAAAACTGCAATTATTAACAACTGTTTGACAACCGTTGTCTAACATAGCATACATTTTTATTTGAGAGAAAGCACTGGGGTTGAATCAATCTACTCATGGCAAATAGGTAAATGGAGCAAATCCATTCAGGGAGAACATGGAATGAGAGCGAAACCACTCAGATTAAAAAAAAGTTTAATGAAGCCAAATATGATATACAGTTGAACTTCAACATCTCGAACAATGATATCTCGAATACCATGGATATGTCAAACTAATTGGAAATCCCATCCACTTATTCTTTAAATATTTTACCCTCGATATGTCGTATCCTCGGATATCTTGAAGTTTTTTTTCAGTCCCATTAGGTTCGAGATAACGAGATTTTACTTTATCCCACCTCTGATGATTTTTCGATGAAATCCTTGCTTCCGATTGGTTGAAGTCTGTCACGTAAAGGGGGTGTATTACTTATACCTAGTCGCTTGAAAATCAATACATGGTTGATGCGGAGTTATCGTTCTTTTGTAACACTTCAAACAACTCGAGTTCACGAGGTTTGCGGGTGTCTGTTGATAAGTAAAAAGTTAATCAATGTAAGTAACGAGATGGAACCTTTTTCTCACTTTACTAAAAGTCTTCGAAACTGTCAGTACATTATGAAACACTCGCAAAACAACATTACGTAACACAACGTGACGTCATAATAGGCATTGTATGATTGATGAAACATATAGCGGAGAAAAACAATTTTACAAACCACAGACCATAGACATTTCATCGGTGGGGTTAATTCGTTACATAGTTTTGTAGTGACAGGGTACGGGATGATACCTGGTTAGTAAATTTCATACCTGGCTTGGCTTCGCCTCACCAGGTATGAAATTTACTAACCAGGTATCATCCCGTACCCTGTCACTACAAAACTATGTAACTAATAGTACTAGAGTGACAGTGGCGTCAGTGTTGGGACCTAAAGATATCATGCAAAATGTAATATTCTTAATATTGCCTTTAAAATCACAATCACCACATACTGATAATTAGTAACTGTTATTTATTGATAATATCAAGTTTTCTAGATAATATTATATAAACGTGTTCATTCAGCAGAATATTTTTGGATAAATATTTTTTCTTTTGACTTAAGGATCAAGAGCTTGCCAGGCAGGTCATTGAGCTAGGATATAAAGGCAGTGGAGGAGAAGTGCTAAGAAGGGAAGAATTTGAAGCCAGGAAACAGGCAGCTGAAGCCAGCAGACTTTCAAAGAGAAGTCAACAAAAGTATGTATTCTATAAAATTTAATGAATTACTTCATTACACTCAATGATACTGAAATCTAATATTAGAAGTTTTGTGAAAATATTTTAATTTGTTTTATTGGTTTGAAGAACTTTAGCAAGTTCTGGGAAGGATATCAAGGATCCATTTCTTAAGGCCTTGGCAGAAAAGGAGGAGGCTAATAGAAGTGGCAAAATGACAGTAGGTATCCACAGATTACAAGAAAATAAATTTTAATCATGTGTTTTTCAACTGTGCATACAACAGTGTAGAAGCACTTGTCTGTATTCAGATACCTTTACCCAAATTAGTGAAATTACTTTTATTATTATTTTGTAGAGTGTAATATTCATTAGGGATTTCAATGCAAGAGGCCAAGAAATTTCTGGCTACATAGATTATGCACACAGACTGAAGACAGAGGACTTTGAGCCATACTTTGCAGAGAAAAAGAAACTCTTACCAAGGCCATCAGATTTAAGGTAACAAGATTTTGAATGATTTGTAAGATAATAAGTATCCAAATTTATATATATAGCTTATTTTCCCAGAAACTACATGTACAATATCCTGTGATTTAATGGGGCACTGGATTGTCATGTTGTATATCTTTCCACTGCAATTTAATGTGGAAAGCATAAGCTTTGATCCACATACATGTACCAGCAAATACTTTCATTGTGTAGACTGAAGTGACTGTATGCAATACCTACTATCAAACAACATTCCACAAAATAAATAAAGTATATCACCTATATTATATGAAATGCAAACATAAGATCCCTCACTTATTGTATTGAAGTCACAGAAATGATATAGTGTCACATGCATTTATTTCCAGCTTTTATAATTGGGAAACTCAGACTTCTACATCAAATCCTTCTCCAAACTATCTTGTGATGGCACAGAATGCTACAGGATTGATTTTCAAAAACAAAAGGGATCGCAAACAGCTCATTGTAGATCCCAAGGTAATTTTTTTTTTATTTATCACTTACACTATTCAAGAGCTTAAAGGTTCTGTAAATTTATTTTTTGAAGTTTATTAAGGTTGATAATAATTGCATAATACATGCATGGGTAAACAATATTTATACAGTCTGAATAGGATTGGGAAACAAGTGATCCCTATTACTACTATCTCCAAAACAATGATTATATAATTATCCTCCTTAATCTTCTTATGTTTTCTTAGTAGATGACAACTTGTCCCACTTGTTTAAATTATGATTAATTCTGTTAATATTTCAGGCCCCCAACCCAGGAGACAATTCATACCGTTATGTGATAGAGACTCCCAAATATGTCCAAGTTGTTATATATGATCATATCACAAGAAGGAAAACATAAACTGTTGATTTTTATAGTGTCTGTGTAAATGTATCATGTTTAGACTATTTTTGTTCTGTACATTTGTTAATAAAATAAACATACTGTAATGATATCTATTTTCCCTATGTTTGTTGAACAATTTCTGTCAATTAAAGAGAGCTGACTTCTTCTTTTTTTTAACTACAATAGGAAACATCCTCACAATTTCAGGGTCCTGAGTTCATGCATGGTCCCATGACCATGCGTGGACTTAGGATCCCTGACGTTGTGAGAATGTAGAAAACTTTTTTTTTTATGCCTTATATATGTATAAGCTATATTGTAAAAAGTCGCGTCAGCTTGTTGTTTGTTAACGCATTGACATGTTTGTAAAGTTGTGTAAGCATGACAGTCCGTTGTTAGCGTGACAGCGTGTTGTATTTTAGCGTAACGGTGTATTGGGTAAAGATTCGTTTGCGTGACGGCGTGTTGTATGTTAGTATGATGGCGAATTGTCCTAAGTTACGTCCTCGCTACGGCGTAACGTTAACAACGCGATTTTGCTAACGCAATGTTAAATTTTTGCAAATTACCCTGTCGGAATAACATATTTTTTATATCCCCTACCTGAAAATTCCATTTCAGCTGTTAATTTTTAGTAGCCTATTAGTGTACGAATACATTCATACATATCATGATGCTGTCACCTTGCTCTAGTTTTTTAGCATGACGATATTGCTACGTTATCTTAGATATAGTTCAAGGTACATTCTACATACATTTCATTGAAACGGGACTGTCTCTTACCAGTTTTGCATGTTTATATATATATATGTGCACAATCTTGTATGTTTCATGAAATGTTACGTTTTGTTATATTAATATTTACTCAAGTAAAATTCCCAAATTTTCAAGAAAAAAAGAATATGGTGAAATTTCAATTAGAAAAATGAAATATCTGAATAAAAAAAAATAACTAATATAAAAACAGAGAAGAGAAATACAGATTTTCAAACAAGTATAAGGTAATTACTAGTAATAAGTTGAAATAACAAGGCACACTGAGCATTATTGGATCAGGTTATATTCTATTCTTTACTATTTATACACATGTACATTGCTGGTACGTTTACCATTGTTCTATCCAGCAGAACACAAAATAAGAGCGTTCGGAGACTGAACACTCCATCGAATGTCTTTTTTTTTTAAATATACATTTCGAAAAGATTTTTTTTTATTTGAGATTTTTGAGACGTAAGTATTAACGAGATGTGTCGTTTGGCAAGCAGCCAAAATTTCAAATGCAATATTTAAATTTGTATTCAAACTGACCAGTATTTTCTGGTAAAATACCTGTATATGCAATTTCAACTTTTAGGTACATCCCTACAAAAGTTAGAAAGCAGATACTGAAAATTTCTTGTTTTTTCTAAGTTCAAGTGGGATAACTCTGTCAAAAATCATTGGACCACGACCAAATTCAAATTTGACCTGTATTTTCTGATAAAATACCTGTCCATGCAATTTCAACCTTATACATACATCCCTACAAAAGTTAGAGAGCGGAAACTGAAAATTTCTTATTTTTTTCTAAGTTCAAGACTGATAACTCTGTCAAAAATCATCGGACCATGACCAAATTCGAACTTGACCTGTATTTTCTAGTAAAATACCTGCATACATACATCTCTACAAAAGAGCAGAAACTGAAAATTTCTTATTTTTTTTTTTCTAAGTTCAGGAGGGATAACTCTGACAATC